ACCTTCAGCAGGCCCGTCTTTTCTTGGAAGTACCGGGAAGCTCATCGCACGTCTCGGGCGCTCACAGCCGAGCGGTAGGAACTGAAAGGAAACCCCAGCGCCCCCATGCATGATGACGACGTCTGGAAGTTTACGGTAGCGTCTCGGTTCCAGAGGATTTCGGAGCTCTTGAGATGGATGCGTAGTTCAGATGAGATTCTGGAGGGGGAGCTGGAGGAGGTGGAGTTTAGAGCAAGTCGAAGCAAACAAGTCACGTTGTTCCACGTCTCGGGAGAGGGTAGCCTCAAGGTCAAACGCTGGCTTCGCCACCACGCCGCCCCCACCCTCGGAGGAGAACTGCACCAATGCACTCGGCATCTGGGGCCTCATGTCTCGTTGTCTGGGATTACAGGACCTGAAGTTGCTCGTCGCAAGGAAGCGGCATCGGTTGGGTTCTACACGATGGGAGGGTTCTGGGCTCTAAAGTGTCCTTGGAGGCGGACTGGGACAATCCTGATCGGGCTCGTTCGGAATGCTTTATTGAGTGGCCCGGAGGCACTGATGGTGACTCCTCAACAGTATAAGGATATGGACGCTCATCTGGCTCGTCTTTGCCGATTGCCGCTGCAAGGTCGGGGCGCGTCTCGCGAGGGCGAGCACACGACGACGCGGTCGAATGAACAGGTGCTGCGGCACTGGGAACTTCTGCCGACCGCGAAAGAGATGCTCGTGCGGCGCTTGAGCTGGCACCAGCAGATTGCACGCTTTCCTGGCAGCCATCAGCAGCTCCTGCGTGCACTGTTTGGCCGTTTGCCTGCGCTGGAGTTCGACAGATACAAACTTGTGCTCCTTGACCGCTTGACAAAACACGCGCCCCCCTGGGCTCGTTGTCTCCAGGAGGACTTTCAGGAGGCTTGGGAGATTCGTGGAGAGGAGGCCCAGTCATGGAAGAGCTCTCGGAGTTCCCCTGGAGGTTCGCGGCCCCCGAGCTGGCGCCCGACATGATCCAGATTGATTTCTCCGCGATCCGATCGGCCCAGGTTCGTGCCCAAGTGCCTCCTCCAGGGTACCAGCCCCCTGAGGTCCCTGTTCCACGAGCCCCAGAGGTCCCGCGGGAATAGATGTGTGAATGGGTGGAGGAAGATGGTGAAACATGTGAGGCTGTATTCCGCACAAAACGTGATCTTCTCAACCATCTTCGAGCAAAACACCATGTTCGAAATGCGGGGCACGTGCTATCTCCTACGAACAAGCGCGCGGTTTGCCATGCGGTTCTCAGCTCTAGAGTGGTGGCAGGCCGTCACCTAGCTCGGTCTCTGGTTCGGGGCTATTGTATTCTTGATGGGGCTCGGAAGCTTCGCGCCCCCATACCTCCTGATACCCTGCTGTGCCGAATACGCGGTGTCGACCATGCTGATTCGGAACCCCTCTGTAGCCATCTGGTTCAGCATCTTCCTCGAGAGGCATTGCCTCATCGCGCCCGCCCAAAGTCGGACCGTCGGCGGCAGCAGCAGCATGGCCCTGGAGGGCGCACGGGCGCGGCTGACGCCCCCGACGGACGCGGAGATGACAGCGGCCCCGCCGCTGCGGAAGAAGGGTCGCGACGACGACGACAACGGCGGCGGCGGCAAGAGCTTGCGCGAGATGGCTAAGACGATGGGGCGCCTCGTGTTGGCGGATTCCCGCGAGATCCAGGATCTGGACGCCGTCGCGTAGAAAAAGTTCCAGGCGAAGCATGGCGGCTTGACCGAACAGCAAGAGGCCACGGGCAAGTTGCACAACGCCCAGTCCACGGTGCTGCGCGAGAAGGTGAAGGCAGGGGAGCAGGTCGACTTCGAGAGCAGGGCCCCCCCACGCGCGGCGGCGTTCGCGGCGTCCGCGAAGCGGCGGGACACGGGCGGGAATCTCAGCAAGCAGGAGTTGACGGACGGCTTCGCCAATATGTGGAAGGACGTACTCATGACCTTCTCCCCGCAGCAGATCGCGGCGCTGCTGCCGCACTTTCGGTGGAAGGCCCACAAGGGGAAGCCTACCAATGGCAACAAAGACAAGGGCAAGGGCAAGGACGACCAGTCACAGCAGGTCACGACGGGTGCTTGACAAGGGCCTCGTCATGCACGCGGTCGAGGTCACTCGCGCGCACGGGCCCAAGCTGGCGGCTCTCCTCGGAGAGGCGATGCTGGACATGAAGGCGGCGTACAAGGCGGGGGCGGCTCCTCCAGGCCCTCTTCATCGGCAGCTCTCGAAGATGATCAACGACATGTGAGGACGGTTCTCGCCCCAGGCTCGTCGTTATCAGCCCCGAGTGGCCGAGTTGACGATGGTTTGACTGGCGAGAGTGACCAGGTGGCGTATCGAGGGCCTGGGCAGACCACACTTCAGGCACGGAGCTCGGTGAGTGAAACGGATGCGCCTGCGGCTCAGACGGATTTTTTTCGTCGTCGACGGGGTTCGATTGGTCTCTGAGCGAGCGATTTAGGGCTTGACGGGCTGCTGGCCATATCCCGCCTAGACCCCCCGTCCGACGTCTGTTCCGACGATTGCTCTCCCCAGACAGGCGCCTCGTGGGCGCGGTCGGGGTTCTCGCGGGAGAGGTAGTTCCCAGCCCCCTCGGAGGCGCCCCTCGAGGCCAAATGCTTCTGTCGGGGGGGGCCTCTTCTCGGGGCGGCCCGTCAGGCAGCCGCGCCGGATCGCGGTGTGGGGAAGCTAGCAAGGTGGGCCCTGGCCCTTGTGGCTCCACCGTGTTGGCGCCCCCCCTCCCTGATCGGTATGTCTATGCCGCGGCGTGCGCGCGGCTCCCACGTTCTAAAACGGCGAAGTGATTCGCCCCTCAGAATCCAGGTTTGCAATTTTCTGTGTGTTTCGAGGCTAAGCTGTCGAGGGATTACATGAGCATGTCTGTCTGTCTCCTCCTCCTCCTCCTCCTCCTCCTTCCGTAGCCATTTTGGCTCAAGGTTGAAACCTGCCCTGGGGCTTCAGCCTTGTCGCAGGCGACAGGGAGGCCCGAACCTTCCGAGGCCAGGACGCCTCTCTCCTTCCTGACGCGCGCCACAGCACGCTCCCAGTTTTGGCTACAACGACGCGCGCTGAGCCGCCATGGGCCCTGCCGCCTGCGACCGCCCGCACCATGTCGTGCATCGTCTTGATGGGGGTGATGATATTGATACGGAGATTGCTTCCTCTGGTGGTCGCGATTCCTCTGAGGAGCCCCGCCGCTCTGCCTCTCGGAGCGGGGGCAGCCGAGGTGCCCGTCGTGCCGCTCGCGCTCGGCCTTCCTCCCACGGCAACACTGGTCCTGCTCCCGAGCCTTCTCGCCGTGCTCGCCGTGCTGGCCGCACTCGTGGCGCTGGCGGGGACGTCCCTATGTCTCCTGGTGTTGCTGCCTCGCATCGGGGCCCTGACCCTGCGGCCCTGGGAGCATCTCGGGGTGCTCAGGCTATCCCCTTGGACGAGTGGGACGATACCAAGCGGGCACAAGTGGCCGCAGAGCTCGAGATGGCCGCTACCTTCCCGTCGCAGGAGGCGCGGCCCGACCCGAACGCCACCCCGCAGGGCCCTGCTGCTGGGCTCTTCGACCCATGGGCCGCGGCGGCGGGGGCTGGCGCTACCACGCGTGCTCAGGCTGCTGCTGGTGGCGCTGCTGACTGTGGCGAGGAGGAGGAGCAAGCCGCCTTCACTCGGGCCTTCTACCATGCCGACATCTCCGCGAGATTCATGCAGCTGCGCAATGAGTTCGACAACATCGTTACCACGGCCATCACAAATTCCGTCCAGCAGTCAAACGCTCCCATCGTTGCCACGCTCGCCACACTACAGAAGCAGCTATCCTCGCAGCACACCTCCATTGATCAGCAGGTCATGGCATCGGTGCGCCCACAGTTTGATACCATGCAGCGCCAGTTTCAGGAGCAGCATGATGCCCTATGCCGTCGTGTCGACTACACTGAGCGGGACATCGAGGCCCACGCAGCCAAGCTGGCTGAGCTGCAGAAGCAGGTCGAGGAGCTGCGCCGCCAGAATGAGCTCGACCGACAACTCCCGTCACGGCCTCCTGCCCCGCCTGGCTTCGACCGCGAGATCGATCCGACGCAGGTCATCGTGGTCTCGTCCAAGCTCGTCGGTTTGGCTGGCGTCCGTGAAGTGGTCAACTCCTTCATGGGCGAGCTCAATTTCTCTGAGGACGACACGTACACGATCAAAGCCCTCACGCCGCTCCCCGCCAAAAAGTTTGCCGTGTGCTTCTCTGGGCCGATCGGGCTGGCTTCCCGTCGTGTGCAAAAGGCCCTCGCTAACCTCAAGACGGACGGCGCATGGCGGATCTTCCAGTGCCCGGCTCAAGGTGCTGACCCAGCCCGTCTTCACTTTGGTCCCGACAAGTCGCCGAAACAGGTTCGTGGTGAGATGCTCCTGCGTAAGGTCCGCTCTTCCCTCATGGAGCTCGACAGTCAGAGAAAGTGGTTTGTTGATCGGGAGCGGAGCGTTCTCAAGTCTGACTACACCGACATCCTGCGTCTTGTACCACGGCCAGGTGACGAGCCTCCTGAGCTTTCTTGGAACGACGTGGGGATCCGCGCCCTCGGCCTGGACCGTCGAGACCTCCAAGATGCCATTCGGAACATCACCGCCGCGCCGACGGCCACCCAGTGGTGTCTTTAACGCCATTACCGATATGTTTGTGCTTCCAGTGGGGCAGGTCGGCGGAGAGATCACAGCCAGCCTCACATTCATGACTTGGAATGCACGTGCTCTTCTTCAATTTGGTGGAGCGAAGGCCTCGCCTAAGCTATCTTACCTAAGTAAACTGCAACCTGGGCGATCCATCTTGGCTCTCCAAGAAGTGCATGCAGATCGTTTTGAGTTGAACGACTTTGTGACAAGGCTTTCTTCCACGGCCATTGTCCACAGCAGCTTTTGTGAAGATGACGACGGTGAGGTTGTCCGCGGCTCTGGGGGAGTTGCTGTCATTCTTCCTCCTTTCTCATCTACTTCGGTCAGTAGCTGTGCGGTGCCTCTGATCAGAGGCAGGGTGCTTCGTGTTGACGTGGCACTTGGGCATACACAGCTGGTGATCTTCAACGTTCACAATCACGGCTTGACCAAGGGGGAGGTACAATCTGTCTGTGAGCAGATCGGTTGTGCTTTGCGTCGCGCTGCTGATGACCCACTCTCGTACTTTGTGGTTGTCTTGGGGGATTTCAACTACAGTTACGATTCTTCTCTTATCTTTCACCGACCTACTGGGGTACAGCGGCAGCTGACACATGATCATAAGGTCCATGCTCCAACTTGGGCGGCTACACTTGGCAAGATGATGGAGGTTAACTCGGAAGCGGCGACCCGCTTCTCCAAGTTCACCAACTCCATCAACATCATCGACCGCTTCTTCTGTTCTGCCACAGGCTGGATGATGTGTCAGCTCATGACTGAGGTTAACACGGTGGACACGCCAGAGCGCCTGTGCTCCATGGGCATCTCGGATCATGCTGCTCTCTCGATTCGGCTGCGTCTTCGGGGTGCGCGTCCCGCCTCTGAGCGGCCCATACCCAAGCACATCTTCACATCTGTTGCCTTCCAGCGCCGACTCCGAGGAATGGTTGCTGATAGTGATGAGGATCTGCTCCGATGGAGCCCACCGGTGGCCACAGAGCACTACAAGTACATGATGAAGGAGGCCGCCAGGGAGGCCCGCAACATCCTCTTCTATTCGGCCCCTGACTTGCCTGGGACGCTGCAGCTGGTTGCTCGTGGGATAGCACGAGCGGTATGGCGTCAAGACGCTGCCCTTGCCCTCAAGCTCATCGAGACCTCCCAGCACGCCGCCGACGCCCTGACGGTCGACGGCCAGGTCGTCTCGCTGCGCCACGCCCCGTCCTTCGAGCAGTGGGCTGCTGGAGTACATCGGTTGGTCTACGAAAAAGAACTTGCTGCTGCTGCTGCTGATCGTGCTCCCTCAGGCTCCTCATCTGCCTGGCGGCCTAGTTCGGCCACGCTTTTGCGAGCTATGGAGAGGAAGGCCTCCATATGGGCCCCGTTTTCGAAGCGCCTGATACTGTCCGCGGTCAACACCCCAGAGGGCCCCATCTCAGAGGTTCGGGAGCGCACTGCGGCCCTGGCGGCCTACTGGACCCCTGTCTTCTCCAAGAAAGAGCCCCACCCTGTCATGACCCAGATGTACCTCGATAGGTTCCTCACCAAGGCCTCTGACATCGACTTGCACTGTCCTCTGACCCCAATGTTTCGTAAGGTTCTCAGGCGTGCCCGTCACTCTGCTCCTGGCGTCGACGGGCTGCCCTACGCGGCCTGGTCGGCGTGCGACTATGGGGCCCAGCACCTGGCCAGAATGTTCGGATGGCTATGCCAAGGTCAATCGTTGTTCGCCTCCGCCAGCGTCACCCTCCAGGCGTTCCTCCCCAAAGGTGCTGATGACTCAGATCTGCCGTCTGGGATCTGCTCTCGGTCTCCCGATAAGATACGGGTCCTGGGACTGCGTAACACCGACGTTAAGATCCTGAGCTCGGTCATGAATAGGGTCCTCGAGCCTGTCGTCCAAGCCGTCGCACCCGCTTCCCAGAGAGGCTTCATCAGAGGACGGAATTTCTGCTATAACGTGCTTGAGCTGGATGTCCATGCTCGGCTTGCATCACAACATCCCCTCGCTGTGCGCCGTTCCCCTGTCCTCGTCGGGTTCGACTACGGGCAGGCCTTCCCGAGCTTGTCGCAGTCCTTCCTACTACAACTATTGGGCTCTCTTGGGCTCCCCGCCGAGGTTCTCGCTTTCGTGGGATGGATGTATTTGGCAGTGGAAGGTGTGGTCCAGGATGGGGGATGCTACACGACCATCTTCTGGATCCGCTCGGGCATCATCCAGGGCTGTGGTCTCTCGGGGTCTCTATACGCTCTCGCCTCCTCCCCCATGCTTGCCGACCTCGAGCGGAGCATCGAGCAGCGTCAGCTGGGTTATGCCGTGCCTGTGCTGATGATCTAGGTGCTGTCCTGTATGAGCTAGCCTCTCTGCGCATCCTGGTGCGAGTCCTCGGTGTCATGGAAAAGATTGCGGGCCTCAAGATTAAGATCAGCAAGTGCACCCTGGTCCCTCTCGTCGGCTGCATGACGGAAACCCTGAAAACGATGACCCAGGCCCAGCTGGCCTCGATCGCGAGTGCCTGGTCAGGCTTTGCTGTTGAGGGGTGGTTACTTTATCTTGGAATGATCTTGGGCCCTGATGCGACGGTCGACATGAACTGGAGGGGCCCGCTCATGAAGGCACGTTCTCGATCTCGGATGTTGGGACGTGGGGTTGCGTCAGTCTGTACGAATTGTATCTTGTACCGCACGCGGGTTTACCCTTGTTTGGCGTATGTGGCCCAATTCCTCCCTATGCCCGAATGGTTCCTGCCCATTGAGCGTGGTGCTATCGCCCAAGTTCTTCGTGCTCCCCTCGGCCTCTTTTCGAATGAATCGATCCTGGAGCTCCCGGCCTGGGGTGGTCCTCAGATCCCATCGTGGGCTGCCCATGCTACTGCTGCTCACCTTCGTGCTGCTTTACACACCTTCCAGGGCTATGAGGAATACCTGCGGCTACTGCGACAAACGGCTTTGCTTTGGCACAGAGAGGTGGTGGAAGGGAAGTTTGATGCTATCCCCTTGGCTGCTTTGGATCGCTCCCGTGTTTACCCAGCTTTCTGGAAATCCCCTGCGTTCGTCGAACACCTTGAGCTGGTCCATGTGAGGTCTCAGGAGCCCCTACTCGTCGCCGCTCGCTCTGCCATGCGTGAGGAAGCTCAGATTACGACACGAAAGCCCAAGCTGCAACGTGCAGCTGCTCGCTCGCTGGGTCAGAATATGTGTACGCACAAACCTCTGCATGCTATGCTGATTCGCCACTTAACCCCGTTATTCGCTGCTTACCTCCCCTTCCTCAACCTGATCCACTGGCCCGCTATTCGGGAGCTTCTGGCATTGGTCCCGCAAAGTTGGGCTATGGCGGCCTTACGGACTTGGGGGCATGGATGGCTGACGTCTTATAGGATTATCCACCCGAGGGGTAAACTTCGTTGTCGTTTCGGATGCCCTGGCCCTGATCGGCTGCAACATTATCTACGCTGCCCTAAACTGTACATGGCAGTCAGCAAGGGACTACAACGTGCCCTGCCTCGTCCCCTGGCTCAGCGTCTTGGCCTTACCCATCCCCACCCTGACCACTTCGAAGCTCTCTATGTCTATTACCAGGTCTTCAACTATGCTCGGCAGGGTGCGCTCGTGTCGACTCCTCGTCAGTTGCGGGGTTATGTTGAGGCCGCCGTCCGCACCTCTCGTCTTGCCAGACCTTCAGCCAAGTTGAAACGGTGGGAACCTCCTCCCGCTGTCCAGACGATCCGCCGAAGGCAGCCTCAGTGGGATGTGCTCACCTCCTCGTCCACCTCCAGTTTGAGTTCAGACGCTGCGGCCCCCATCCCTGACCTGGTCCCACCCACTCCGTGTGACGACGATGTGAGACATAGTTCAGATGAGGTCGGCCAACCTGCTCCCCATCCAGAGTCTCCTGTGCCCCTGCCTGCTGGCGCTTTGGCTCAGTGCGAGGCCCTGCCCTCTAGGCAGGGCACCAACATGCGGGCGCCCGTTTCCGCAGCCACCTCGCCGCGACCTGCGGCATCCATGTTCCCGTGGCCGCTGGCCGCCACAGTGGCGCTCTCCGCGGTCCATGCAGTGTCGATGACTGTCCCAACCGCATGTGAGGTGGATGTTACACGGCTTGAACGTGAACATCGTGCGACCATCAAGCGTGTCGAACGCCTTCGTGCTGGTGGGCTTCCTGTTCGAGAGGACCCTGCTCTTCCTGAACAGTTGCGGTGTCTGGGCGATGCCTCCGCTCCGATGTCGACGCCGTCACCTGGTACTCCCATGCTGTGTCTGGCGGGCCATCCGCATTCTTCCTCTGCGGAGCATGCACCACCTGTTGCCTTTGGCGAAGGTATTGCCCCGAGGGCTACACGCTGGGTCTTGCGCCTTGATGACCCCGAGAGTGGCCGTACCGACTGGTTAATGTGGTGCATTCCGTACGTGCGCGCCAAATTTGAGGCGATGGAATGGGTGGATTCGTCTGGTTGGAGTGGTACTCTCGACGAACTTGCTCGTCATATCTGCATGGTTGCCTGGGACACCTCTACTGAGGGGCGCCTCAATATTGTTGCGTACTTTCGGTGGCTGAATGACCCTCGTCACTCCTTGTCGCGACACGAGCGATGGGAAGAGATGGTGGATCGACATTTCCAGGCCCTTCGTGAGATACGCAGAGAGATGAGGCAATACTTGGGACCTGCTGCGCCACACCGTGTTCGTGACTTCCTTGTGGACAGCAATGGAGACGAGTCCCTGCCCATCGTCGCTGCCAACGGGTCGGTGCGCTACTTTGCCCCACTCGTCTCAGTAGTGGATCCCGAAGATGGTGATGACGCCGACGGTGAGGGTGACGTTGATCCTGCCTCTTTCCTCCTCCAGGTTTCTGCTGCAGGGTGCTCCTCGAGCCCTGCGGCCATCGGCGTTAGAACGCGGAGGTCGACCGCCTCTGATGGAAATAACGGCTCTGGAGTAAGTTGCGAGCTTGCGTCTCGAGTTCGGAGGTCGACCGCCTCTGATTTAAATAAGGGCTCTGGAGTAAGTTGCGAGATTTCGTCTCTTGTACGGAGGTCGACCGCCTCTGATGGAAATAAAGGCTCAGGAGTGAATTGTGAGCTGGTGTCTCGAGCTGGTTCTGGGCGAGTTCTCCTTGCTGATGCTTCGAGCTCGGCGTTGTGCGCTTCGTGTACTGCCTCAGCTTCGGGATCGGTGGGCACTTCTGGTCCTGGAGCGGCCCTGTCTGGGATCTCACCTCACCACTACCCAGATTGCGACGCCACCTCGCACGCCTTCGCCCCCGACATCGAGAGTTGCGCCTTCTTCGAGAGTTGCGCCGACGTCGAGAGTTGCGCCGTCATTGCGAATTGCGCCGTCTTCGAGAGTTGCGCCGTCATCGAGAGTTTCTTCGTCAACGAGAGTTGCGCCGTCTTCGAGAGTTGCGCGCCGTCTTCGAGAGTTGCGCCGTCTCCGAGAGTTGCGCCGTCGTCACGAGTTTCGCCGACTTGGTCACGGATCGCTACCCTCCTCGCTACTCTCCCTTGCTCGTTTTCCCCGACCTGTCCGAGTTCGGCGGCTGCTGGTTCATCGTTTGCGCCCTTGACGATGCGGATGGCGGGTCCCTCCCCTTCGATTTCGCCCTTGACGAGAATTGGGTCGTCATGGTCATGCGGTGCTACTCCATCTCCTCCTATTGGCACGAGTTCTGGTTCAGGAGTTGGGGGCACCCTCAGATTGCCCCATATGTGTGAGCGCCGTCGGAAAATGCCCCAGCTGCCCATTTTCCTTATCCGTTCTCTGCGCCTCGCCTCGGTCCCCTCCTTCGCTCCTGCCCCGCCGCCACTGAATGAAAGAGCGGCTCCGCACGGCTGCATCATGAGCGCCTTCGAGGCGCAGCAGGAGGCCGCCGCCAGCGCGCCCCAGCCGCCAGCTTCTCTTTTCCACCCGCCGGCCTAGGTCGGACACGCGGCCCCCCCTCTACGCTCGTCTCCTCCTCCTCCTCCTCCTCCTCCTCCTCCTCCTCCTCCTCCCTCCTCCCTCCCTCCCTCCCTCCCTCCCTCCCTCCCTCCCCCCCTCCCTCCCTCCCGCCCCCCCCCTTCCCTCCCTCCCTCCCTCCTCTTCCTCCTCTTCCTCCTCCTCCCCCTCCCTCCCTCATCCTCGTCTCCGCGCCGCCGGTCAAAGAGGGGGGAGCGACCGCGGAGCGGCCCCCCCGTGGGTGGCACGCCACCCGCCTCGCCGGAGCGGCGCGGGCGCCCGCAGGCACCCCAAGCCGCGGAAGGTGACGCCGCTCTTGCGCTCCGCCCTGGAGGCGCACCCGAGGACGGGCTCCCTCGAGAAAGGCAGTGCAGCGAAGGCCCTGCTTGGCGGCGGGCGCGAGGGGTGGAAGTTCTGGGAGTTTCGGGCTCGAGAGTCGAGGTGTTCGGGCGTCGGCGTCGGGCATTGGCTGTTTTCCAGCCTCGGGATGTGCTCCGGCAGCTGCGCCTCGTCGAGGGCCTTCCAGGGGTGCCCAGATCGTCCCGAACGGCCGCCAGAGGCCCGAGTTATGACCCCAAAAACCGCCAGCAGAGAGGACGGGCCTTCTCTCGGAGCGTGAATTACCTACCCCGCTTTCGCTTCCAGGCAAAACCAAGCCATACCACGCGCCTCCTCGTCAAGCGGCCTGACCAGTACAGGCCGTAGTTTGGCATCGCTTGGTATCTCTTGGAAGCGAGGGTGGTCAAAAGCGAGGTAGGTTTGTTTGCCCCCTATTCTCAGAAGGCTCTGAGGTCCTTCGACCCTCTGAGCAGTGTTCGGCGCCTCCCCCGAAGACGCAGAAGGCCGCTCGGAAGGCCCGAGGCCTTCTGAGAGGCCCCGCCGCCTTCTGAGAAGGCCTTCTCCTTCTTATTGTCCCCCCGGTCGAGGTCGGTTTGGAGAGGGTGCCCAGATGTTCTTCGTGCGTGCTGGATGCTCTCGTGCAGCCTGAGGGGGGATGCCTTCGAATGTTCCGTGTGTTTGGACCAGCGGACGGTCTCTTGTGCTTGAAGGATGCTATTGCGTCTGAGGCCCTGCCGTAAAGCGAAGGCCTTGCGGCCAGTGCTACGGGCCCTGAAGGGGGGAATGACGGCGGCGGCGGCGGCGACGACGACGACGCTGACGCTCTGGAGCCCTTCTTGGGACTCTCTGGGGAGCCTCGTTCGGACGGGGCTGGGACGAGGGTTTACCCGTTCCAGAGCATTCCGGAACGCTCTTAGGGCGTTCCGAGGGCGTTCCAGGACGCTCTGAGAAGGCCGCGGCGCCCGAGACATCCTGCAGAGCCGCCCGATATCAGAGACGCCCGACGTACCCCCTACCCGATGTGATCTTCGCCCTGGCCTCGTCTTACTCTTGGGTTCTGTGTGGGGAGGGTGTCCCCAGGTGGACTTTCTTGGGGAGCCCGGGGCTCCACAACCACAGATGGCCCCTCCTCCTCCTCCTACTCCTCCTCCTCCTCCTCCTCCTCCTCCTCCTCCTCCTCCTCCTCCTCCTCCGCCTCCTGGCGATCCGTCTGGCCCCTATGGGCCGCCAGGCATAGCAGAAAACCGAAACCCCGACACAAACTGAATCCATAGTTTCTCTGATCCCTGTCGTGCGCGGCAGCGCTCCTCGTGTGCGGCAGGCTCCTGCCGCGCCGAGGCGGCGGCGGCCCCATCACGGGCGCTCGAGGCTCCCGGAGGTCCTGGCGCTGCTGCTCTGTCACGACGAGGGTCTGCGCCCAGTCTCGGGCCCCCGGGCCCTGACAGATCGAGGAGGCATCTCAGAAGCAGGGGTGCTTCTGAGAAGGGCGCCAGCCTTGCAGCTGCTTGTGAGGCCCGCGCCTTCAAGGAAGCAGGGGTGCTTCTGAGAAGCCCTGCCCCCCCCCCCCCCCCCCCTGGCGTGGCCGATTGGAACCCCTCCCCCCCCTCCCCCCCCTCCCCCCCCCCCCCCTCCCCCCCCTCCCCCTGCCCCCTCCCCCTCCCCCCCTCCCCCTGCCCCCCCCTCCCCCTCCCCCTCCCCCTGCCCCCTCCCCCTGCCCCCCTCCCCCTGCCCCCCCCCTGGCGTGGCCGATTGGAACCCCTGAGACCCTGGCGCTGCACTGTCTCTGCAACGGGCGTGTGCGCCCGGCTTCGGGCCCCAAAGGCCCTCACAGATCGATCCGCTTCGACAAAATGATGCAGAAAGATGGGGTCCAGGGCCCCAGGCGGGCGTTCATCGGGGGTGGACAGAACCCCCAACAGTGACACGTCGATTAGTGAAGTGTCCGTTTTTGGCTCTCGAGAGGGCGCCGTGGCCGTTATTTTCCAGGCTTGCGCCCGCCAGGTTTGGGCCTCACGTCGTTTTCATTAAACCACGTTTTACTAAATGGGGGTCTGTCCATCCCCGAGTTCAAGGTTTCCTGAGGTCCCGGCGTTGCTGTTTTCTGTTCGCAGCGGGCGTCTGCGCCCAGTTTCGGGCCCCGGGGCCCTCACGGATCGATGCGCCTCGAAGAATGGCGCAGCAAGATGGGGTCTGGGGCTCCAGTCGTGATCTTTTGCGATGTCGCAACTGTTTGCAGCGTCGGAATGCGTGGGGCGGCGGCGACCCCGCCGCGGGCGTTCCAAGTGGATCGCCGCCAGTGGCCCGTTTGACCAATACGGAGCGACCTGGCAATCGAGACGCCGAGCCACGCGGTGTCAGAGACCAACGCTGGGGTCGTCGTGCCGTGCCGGAAGCACCGGCACCAGATCGCTTCCCACAGGTGTCGCAGGCCTTCCTGGGAGTCGACAGTCTATGGTGTCCGTGCTTTTTTCCCCCGCTCCCGAGAAAGCCGTCATCATCCGATCTGATGTCTGTCGGGCCCGCGCCCCGGAGGGGCTCCCGACGGGGGCCCGGGGGCCCGGGGCCGCAGCGGCACCCCCCAGCTCTCCGGCGCTGCTGCTCTCTGGTCCATCCCGGCGTGTCTTCGCGATGGCTGCCCGCGGGGGCCCGCTCTCGGGCCCCCCCGGGGCCAGCGAGCACGGCTCGCAGAGGAACGGGAGGCACGCTCGGGCCCGCGGAGCTGCCACGAGACGGCCCGCGGCGGAAAAGCGGCCCCCGGCAGGGAGTCAGAACTGTTGGTGACCCTTGGCATGGAGAAAACACCGCGCCGGAAGACTCGGGGGTGGAGGGCAGGGCGGGTGGAGCGTACGAGAAGGGCGCCGACAAACAGCCTGACGTGCACCGAGCCTGGCCGCGTGGCGTGAGGTTGGAGTCAACGGGCTGGTCTGGCTAGCTCGAGCTGCCCGGGCCGGCATGTGGCCGGAGATGGGGCTGGGGAGGGGACGGAGGGAAGAGGGGTGAGTGGGAGGGAGGAGGGGTAAATAGAAGGAATAAGGGAGTGAGGAGAGAAGAGGGAAAAAAGGGGGTGGGACGTAAAAAGGAGAGAGGGTGAGGCAGAAGGGGATGGACGAGGAGGGGAGGGAGAGAGGGAGGGGAGGATGGAGAGCAGACAGGAAGAGGAAATGAAAGAGGGATGGGCGTGGGAAGAGGGAGGTGTAGGCAGGGAGTGCAGGAAGATAGAAGAGGGAGGAAGAGGAGCATAATAAGAAAAAGTAAGGAAAGGAGACGTGGGAGAAAGTGGAGAAGGAGCAGGAACAGGAACCGCAAGAAGAGGCGCAGGGCGAGGAGTACGAGATTGAAATCATGAGACAGAGAACTGGCCTAACATACGGACAATGGGGCAAAGGAGGGCGAGGGGATGGAATAAGCGGGAAGAGGAGGACGCGAACGATGACGACAAGCAGCAGCAGCAGCAGCAGCAGCAGCAGCAGCAGCAGCAGGTGCAGCAGCAGCGACAGCATCATCAGCAGCATGAGAAGAGGGACGCCTTCGAGGAGGAAAAGGAGGAGGACGAGGAGGAGGAGGAGGAGGAGGAGGAGGAGGAGGAGGAGGAGAGGACGCCGTCCCGCCGTTCTGTCGCTCCTTCTCTTTCTCTCTTGCCTTTTGGTTTTGTTGCCCCTCCCGCCGGCGCTACCAGCGGGAGGGGTTGGAGGGCCGCAGCCTCCAGGGGACAGGTCCGCGGCTCGAAGCTCGAAGGAGGAGAAGGAGATGGAGGGGGGGGGGCTGCATCAGCAGACACTGCCATTCTCCTGCCCCACGACAGGAGGATTTGCTGGAGCCTGCTGTCCGCTGCAAGCCGTGTACGCCTTCCAGGCCAAGCCTGGAGGGCGTATCAACCGATCTTGGGTCCAGGATCGGTTCTTACAAAGATCGCTGGAAGTGGATACGTCGCGCCCTCCTGCCTGCGTGCGAGTGGCGAGGACCGGCAAGGCCCAGGGCTGCGCAAGAGCAGCCCCTGGAGGTGGCCCGGGCGGCCCTCCAGCAGGCCAAGGACGTGGCCCAGAAGGAGGTCTCGGCACCTTTGCCTTGGGAGCTCCGAGCGCGTCGAGCGGCGCTGCATGTGTTGAGGTCACCCCAGGATGCTTGGGGGCATAGATATGCCCATCGCAGACTGCCAGGACCAGTTCAGGGGTCTGCCTGTGCGCATTCCAGAGCATAGCCAAGGAGAGGCATAAAGACGAAGAGGAGGAGGAGGAGGAGGAGGAGGAGGTCTCAGTGGGCGCTTCGGGCAGAGCGCCGCAAAGCGGCCAGTTCGCGTGCAACAGAACCGGCGGAAGGCGGCTCGAAGTCTGATTCCGGAGAGCAGTTTGAGGACGTATGGGTCGGTTTTCAGTCTGTCGGATTCAGGGAACTTCGGCATGGAAACAGTGCCCGCTACAGCAAAGCGTTGCGGAGGAGGAACGAAGGGGACGAACAAAAGAGTGAGGATGGGGAAGACGACGAAGACGACAACGACGACGACGACGACGACGACGACGACGACGACGACGACGACGACGACGACGGCGACCACGACCACGACCACGACCACGACCACGACAAGGACGACGACGGCGACCACGACGACGACGACGACGACGACGACGACGACGACGACGACGACCACGACGACGACGACGACGACGACCACGACGACGACGACGACCACGACGACGACCACGACGACCACGGTGACCAGCCAGGAGGAGGAGGAGGAGGAGGAGGAGGAAAATGCAAGAGGCGCGTCGTGAGGAAGCGCGTTCTGAAATTGGCACCGGCAGCCGCAGCTCCTCTCCCGCACGCCCAATCGGCACCTCTCCCCTGCGAGGAGCCTCATCGTCCAGGAGGCCTTCTGCGAGGGCTGCTGCGCGCTCCTCTCTGGCGCGCCCAGGGAGGAAACGGCAGCCTGGGTCATGATCGCTGGGCTATTGATGAGGAAAGGAATGGAGAAGGAGGAGGAGGAGGAGGAGAAGGAGGAGGAGGAGGAGGAGGAGGAGGAGGAGCAGGAGGAGGAGCAGGAGGAGGAAGGAGGAGGCGGAGGATGCGGAGGAGGAGGAGGAGGGGGAGGAGGAGGAGGAGGAGGAGGATGAGGAGGAGGAGGAGGAGGTCAATTTTGGGCTCAGGGGCTCAGGGGGTGCTCTGGTTTTCGGGCCGTTCCCTTGACTCGGGTCGGGGACTCACTGGTGGCCGAGGCTCGCCGTGGCCAGAGAAGCCCCATCGATCCTTGCTCGGCGCTCCTCCTGGTAGCCCGACGACTGCATGGGGCCGTCGGCGCTTCTTTGCATCCGCCAGGTCACCAGCAGGGATGCGAAGATGGCATTGCCTCGCGCTTCGTGGCCCTCTGTGCCGCAGAGGCGTCCCTCTTCGGGTTGCCCGCGCGAGAGCGCGAGTATAATCCCGAGGCATACACCAGAGAGTGCGAAGCTATTGGCATTGCCTCGCGCTTCTTGGTCCTCTGTGCCGCAGAGGCGTCCCTCTTCGGGTGGCCCGCGCGAGAGCGCGAGTATAATCCCGGTGCATGCACCGGAGCGTGCGAAGCTGTGTGACCTGGGGCCTGACAGTCGGAACGGTCGAGATGGGTACCCATCGGTCGTTGAAAGTAGGTATTTTTGGATTCCCATATTCCAATCTACTTTCAGCGCCTTCCTACTTCAAGAGTCGAGTGGTGTTCCCTCTTCCCTCCTCTTCTGGAGGCGGGCGGAAACCCAATCTATTTCCAACGCCTTCCTACTTTATGTTTCTACCTACTTCTTCCGACCGATGGGTACGGAGAGAGTAATGACGAAGACCAACAGCAGGTCTTGCCCATTTGAACAGGGATCGCTGTGGGTGCCGCCGCGGGCGCGGCCGCTGTGCGTTTTGGGCAACATCTGTTGTCGGGCATCATGCTTTTCCCGCGCACAACCGTCGTTGAAAGCAGGTATTCTGGGACTCCCGGGCACCAATCCATTTCAGGCGCCTTCCACCTTCAAGAGTCGAACGGTTGTCCCCCTTCCCCTCTCTTCGGGGGGGCGGGCGGAAGCCCAATCTATCTTCAACGCTACACTCCAGGCGATGCTTAAGAAAACTCAAGTTTTCGGCCAGAGGCTCGATTATTCTTAATGTTTCAATGTGAATCCCAAGATTTTGATAGAAGTCCTGGGTTTTTATTCAAATTCTGAGACTCTGAGTTTCTTAACCCATGATTTCTTAAGCATTTCGCAGGGTGTATTTCCCACCGACGGGTGCTCGGTTCGGGCGTCCACAGGAGGACGTCTCGGGCCGCTCGGTGCGCCCCGCGAGGGGCGCCGAGCCGCGACGGCGCGTTTGCCAGGCTTCGGTTCGGCGGTGCCGGGGCGTTCCCGGGCGGCTCCTCTCGAGACCCCAGCACACCCCGCCTCGGCTTCGCACAGGAGTTACGTCGGGCGTGTCCCTCTGCAGGAGGGATGTTCAAAAGCAGTATTATCCCAGTGCGACCCTACCTAGGAGTTGGAGCCCCTAGGAAAGCAGCATTAGTAGTAACAGTAAAGCTAAGCTAAAGCTAAGCTAACACTAAGCTAACACTAAGCTAAAGCTAAGCTAAAGCTAAAGCTAAAGCTAAAGCTTAAGCTAAGCTAAGCTAAAGCTAAGGCTAAAGCTCCCAGGGGACTGGGGGAACCGCGGGGCGGGGACTGGGGGAACCGCCCGGGGCGGTTTCCATTGCCCGGCCCTTTAAGCAAAGAGAGTAAGAACCCTTCTAGGCAGAGCCTAGGTAGGGAATAAAAGTGGTTTGGGGACGATGTTTCGATTATGTTTCTGAAAATGTTTGAGCACTTTTTGCGTATGTTTGATTTTTCGCCCGAAATCCGCGTGTAGGGGGACATGCCCGACCTAATACAAGAGTGATCCTTCGCCGGAGTGACCGTAATCAGGTGCGGGCTCACAGGAGTCTCCCTCGCCCTGGCCTGTGCGCGGCCCCCTACGGCCGCGCACCAGAGGTCACTCGCGCGCGTGTGCGCCCCGAACGGCCAAAACCTTTGTGACTAGAAGGTGATCGTTTTTGTTATTCATTGTTTTGCCGATCGGCGCGGGCCCTCGCACCCTCCTCCCCTCCCCATGGAGTAGATCTTGACTGTTTTTGGCGCCTGTTTTAGGCAGGTGGAGGCTCCCCCCATAGGACGCACTGCCGCAAACAGTGGCTCCAAGCAGAGGTCCAGAGCCAGACCCTCCCGTTCCCCCCTTCCGCCCAATGTCGAAACGCCGAATAAAAAACGCTCACAAGACGAAACAACAGCATAAGCATAAGATTTTGGCGCTCCGCGCGGATTTCTTGGATCTGCGCCCGACCCCCTCCCTGGCGCGCGGAGCGCGCCGGGGGCGGCGCAGGAGGCGCCGCCAGGGGGGGCCCAGCGCGGATGCAAGAAATCCGCGCGGAGCGCCAAAAGTTTATCTTTATGTCGTTTTTTTCTTCTCCAAGGGAAGCCCTCCTGGAGCACCTCGGGGAGGATCTCCGGAGGGTTTCGGGAAGGCTTCGGCCGTTTGTTTAGGGGGATAGCGCTGCATTTTCTCTAAGTGTGGTCGGCCCTCGCCTTGCATTTGAAGAAGAAGAAGAAGCATAAGCATACACTTTTTCAGAGGCCCGCGCGGATCCAAGAAAGGGGGCCCAGCGCGGATCCGAGAGATCCACGCGAAACTCGGAGAAAGTTTCTGTTTATGCAGTGTCTTCTTCTTCGAGTCGCGCATCTGGCGGCCCTAGGATCGAGAACTCTGAGGGTGTCAGTGCGGCCAATCCGCGTGGAAGGTTTCAAAACCAAGGCATCGAGTGAAGCATGTTTTGTTCGCCACCCCGAGGCGTTGCCACGCGGCGGGTCGAGTGAAGTACTACATGTTCCTCCCCGCGGCGTTGCCGCGCCCGGAGTAGAGTGGAATCTGTCTGTCACCCCCAGGGCGCTGCCACGTCGCGAGTAGAGTGGAGTGCCGTGTTTGTCGCTCCCAGGCGCTGCCACGTGGCGAGCAGGAGTGGAATCGTATGTTTGTTCGCCCCTCGGCGTGGCCACGTGACGAGCAGTGGCGCTGTTTCGCCCCCCTGTGCGTTGCCGTGTGGCGCGTCGAGCGGAGCAGTTTCGCATCACCGCGTGGCGATGCCGCTCCGCGCGCCCATAGGCCCGCGCAGGCCCGCCCTAGGGTTGTGAACTCTGAGTGTGTCAGTGCGGCTGGTCCGCGCGGAAGATTTCAAAATCAAGGCATCGAGGGCAGCATTGTTGTTCACCCCCCCACGAGGCGCTGCTACGCGACGAGTCGAGTGGAATGTTATAGCTTCCTCCCCGCGGCGTTGCCACGCCGGGAGTAGAGTGGAATCTGTTTGTCGCCCCCAAGGCGATGCCACGTGGCGAGTAGAGTGGAGTGGTGCTATTTGTTCGCCCCCCCGGCGTTGCCACGTGGCGAGGAGGAGTGGATTAGTGTTGGTCTCCGCCCCTCGGCGCTGCCAAGGCGCACGAGTAGAGCAGAGTAGTAGTTTTGCTTCGCCCCCCGCGCGTGGCCGTGTGGCGCGTCGAGCGGAGCAGTCTCGCTTCGCCCCGTGGCGTTGCCGCTCCGCGCGTTCCTCGGCCCGCGCAGGCTGCACAGGCCTGCCCTGGCATTGAGAGAACGCCGAGCGTGTCAAAGGCGGCAGATCCTCGCGGAAGTGCTCAACACCAGGGGGTCGAGCAGATCGTTTGTGCTGTTTCCCATGCGTTTTGGCGCTTGCCGGCTCGAGTAGAGGGGCATCTTTGTCCGCCCCGCGGCGCTGCGCCACGCGAGGAGCCGAGGGGGACCGTGTTCTCGTTCGGGCGCTGCCACGTGGCGAGCAGATTGGACAATGGAGTGCTATTGTTTCGCCTCCTTCTCCTCCTCCTCATCCTCCTCCGCCCCCTACTCCTCCTCCTCCACCTCCTCCTCTGCCTTCTCCTCCTCCTCCTCCTCCTCCTTCTTCTTCTTCTCCCATCCCTGAGGGGCGGTCCCCTGCGGAGTCCTGTCCTTGCAACACCTCGTACACGAAGTACATGTGCGGTCCCACCGCCAGGCGCCCACGATGGATATGGCCAGGATCGCGACCTCGCCAGCGCTGCACGCGCCAGATGGCCGCAGCCTGGCCGCAGCCCTCCAGAACAGCATCATGGGCCTCCCTCACGGTGCGGAGGCGCACCACACGTGAGGAGAGTACCCTCGACCAGGTCCCATGCCGCCTCCTCGTCCGATGGCACATCAGGGTAGCGCTCGGGGGGCACGAGCATGGCGACAAGGAACGGATCCGTCGGCCACTGCATGGTCCCCGCACCTCTCAGCGCTGGCTGCGCCTCCAGAAAAGCCTCGCCCAGCAACTCGAGGAAGGGCCTAGGCAAAGCCAAGCTATCCACCTCCAGCGCAGCTGCGGGCCTCGCCACCAGGCCACGCAGTCGCATGGCCCCCGAGAGGTGCGGGCAGTGCACGGACAGGGCCTGGCCGAAGGAAGACAGCGCACCCCCGAAGTCGGCCACATCGAAGGACACTGCAGAGGCCTCTGGGAGAGCAGCGATCGCCTTCACCGACTCGAGCTGCCAGATCGACGCCACACGATGTGCTACGTAAGCCTGGTGCACCAATACTCCAGCTACTCCTGCCGCCGCTGCAGCAGCCAAGAATAATAAGCCGGCTCTGATGGCACCATTTTCCTTGCGCAATTGCTTCACCCAAAACCTGTTCAGGAGGTCCGCTCCCCACAGTTGGTCTCGAGGCCTCACAGGGGAGCTCTGCGAGCCAGAACTATTCAACGCAGCTGTCCAAGATGATGTCGGCGGTGTCACTAGGACTCCCAGAATGGCACCTGACTGAATCCTTGCAGTAATGTTGTCTAAAAAAGTCGAATCCTCCAGCTTCAATGACATTGATGGTTCACTGCAATCAAT